TTCCTCGTTTCGGTGACTGAAACTGCAATATCATAGTTGTGCTTATTTACTGAAAATTTTACTGTATTCAGTGTACTTTTAGCGTATTAATAAAATTTCATAATACAAATTCGGATATCTCAATATTGCGATCACGATGTCGAGAAACAAAGAAACAGTCGAGTCTCGAGCACTCCCCGAAACGCGTGTTTCTTCGAGAGCGTGTTGGGGGGAATCTCTTCTACCAAATAGGAATCCCTTTTCCCTTCCTTGGTCGAGGCGAAGCACGATAAATCCGGGCGTACACGTCACCGTGCAATTTCCCCGTCAAGCCTTACGATCGTGACGCGACTTTGTTCCCAATAACGAAAAATATGAGCCCCCTCCGGCCCATCCCATCGTCCCGAGTAGTTCCGCCGCCGAAAGTTTCGCGTCGAATCTCATTCTTAATGGCGGGCGGACGCTAAAAGGGCCGAAATTGAATCCTAGGCTCGACGTTGTGTTCGTCGCGCGAGGGTCGACGACAAGTTTCAAAGTTTATTAGAATGGTTCAATTTTCACCCTCTCTGTGGGGGGGATTCTCGACTTTTCCTCTTGGTTCATTTCCATGGGAGCACCTAATGCGAAAAGACTTCCATTTTTATTGATCGCATGGTTTTATGTTAATGTTTGTCGACGAATTAATCTCGTTTTTCGTACTGCTGATCTTTTTGACTCGTAAAATTCTGGGACTTTATATTTATAATCTCTGAAATCTCTGTACATAATAGTAATGTGTCACAAAGATAATGATAATAGAATGTTGACAGACAGTTGCATTTATGTTTCTTGATAGAATCTAAAGACAGTTATTTAATTGTCGACGGAAGTGTTGCTTTGAACCCTCAACACGAATTCACGGGACAATTTAACGTTACATAAATTTCTATTAACTCGTAACTCTACATGTTAATGCGACATATTAAAACGGAAGATTGAATTGCCCGCCGTGAATTTAATATCCCCTTAATTATATTTCCTCGTACAGAGAGAAGCCCCTCGACATCCGACGCATGTACAGGTCCATAATTTGCCGCATTGTTGGCAAGATTTTCACGCAAGAATTTGCCCTGCGCTTCTTGTCGGGACAGTGGGGTGGTACCTTCCCCTCGTGTTCGATCCACCGTAGACGATGAATTGAATTTAGAGGCCAAGAAGCTCAGTCATGGAGCATCGAGTGGCTATGGATAAAGGTAAACTACGTTAAACATGAATGTACCGATATACACTCTACACAGGGGGGTGATTTTCGCTCCATTCCATTCCATTAATGGAAAATTTAATTTCTCAGATTACTCCGAGTAATAGCCACAGTAATAATATGTACCTAATAAATAACTACGATAATTAACCTGTCTCCTAGCAATACGAAAAAAGAAAAGCAATCGAAAGTTCCGATTTTAAAAACCTTTTATATTTTTCTCGATCGATTTAAATGGAACATCCTGTACATACATATATTCCCTTCTACAATTACGCTAATCAGACATAGAGGGACACGAGTACCGTGTTTAAATCTCTCAACAGTGTCGACAAATTATCCCCGTGAATGAATTCCCAGGTTGCCTGTAACTCATTAGACACGATTAGAAACGTGATCGACCCCATAAATTCGAAACGGTATCGCTGTCCCCGCGGGATCTGTCCTCGTCTCGTAATATCAATCCAACAAGAGCTCTCTCTTTTTTCCACCGATCACCCGTTACATTCAAGGGGGGCCCTCAACACTAACTCCCGACTCTTGACGCGAATTTACGACGGGCGTCCCATCGAAAATTCATAATGCCCCATGGACGACGAGAATATTCGCGGCGGACAATCGAAGTTCCGCGGCTTTAATCAAGCCATCGACATTCATGGCTCGCCTTGACCCCCATGGGGCCGAACCCGTACCCGGTCCTGTTATGTCACTGTTGGGGACGTAAACCGACATTCCACGTCGTAAAAGTCGAGCACAGGTATTCGCGTTACCGTCAGCCCGGTTTATTTATTTAATTACACGACGTCTGTGCCGAATTTTTTACCGCGGTCTCGCCCCGCCTAGCCCCATGCTTTCTTCGGTCCCGGAGGAACCAAAATGGCCGCGGTGAACGGTAGCTACGTGGATGTGTATTTTGGGAAAGAAATTGGAGTGCAACACGGGCGAATATATTGTTCTGCTCCTGTCGTTGGAGCTTTGGACATATAAATAGTCGTGTAACTTTTGATGAATTATTAGAACATTGTTACTCGGTTCGAACGGATGATTAAGCTTTGCAGAATCATCTATACGATAGGAATATAAAGAATTATAAAGTAATATATAAACTACGGCTCCCAAACATACTCTGTGCGGTTGCCGAAACGATAGAAGTATTAGAGGAACGTTTCCAAATTTAGACCATCGTCTAGGTTGGACCACTAACTGCAATTTCTGTACGATAGTGGTGATTACAGTAACTAACTTAATATATTGCTAAGCAACAGTTACATGTGGCAGACAAGTTATATGTGGCTCTTATTATCGAAGAATTTGCCCACCCCTGCTATAGATAGCTTCAATAGATTTAACTTTTTGAAACTCAACGTGCTTGTGCTACTTACCATTAAAGTTTCATCGGAAGAACCATTTGTTCGGTCGCATTTTACCATTCGCCCCATTCTTCGACGATTTCCACCCGCGAATAAACCATTAATTTTAGCGTTCCCATGGAGAGGAGGCGGTTCAACGTTATTCTTCATTGGTAGCCGGCAGTCATTGCCCTGATTGGTCTCGATTAAAATCGACTTGCGAAATCGTCGCGAACGATCTTCGCTGATGACATCAGACAGCTGTAAGAAAGCTTGTATGGGCAGAAGAGCGTGGTGGCACGGTCGACGTAACGCAAACACAACCAACGTGGTTTTGCGCAACGGGCCGCCCGATGAATAATTCACTCGAATCGCCCATACGGGAAAAAGGAAACGATGATAAAGTAACATTTATCGAGTCAATGAACGAGAAACGAGACTCTTTCTTTTTCTTTTTTAATTCATTCCCCGTGACATTCACACCGACGTGTATATTTTACAATAATGCTTGGGATTCCGCATCGATTTTTCGAGAGATCGCCTCCTCTCGAGGGCTCGTTAAGATAAAGGGGGATTTATTGCCCACCAGTTTGACACTTTCTGTCCGCGCGGAGATAAGCCCCGAAATTATGGTAGATAACACCGAGAACCGCTGGTTCATTCGTTTCTTGTCTTTACCCCGCGAAAATAAACGATTAGGAAGTGAAATTTCAGCGAACTGACCCTTCTTCCTGTTATCGTGCGTGCTGCGATTCGTGTCGTCGTTCTGTGATTTGTGTGCCAACTAAATAGATAAACAGATACAAGGAATAATCGACCGTTCCAGCCGCGAGGGAAAAGAAGATTTACTTCGTTTCTATAGGAATTACCTTGTGCCTACGTGTACTGGGGCTTCCAGAGCTTAACCCTTTAAGCTTGGACCATGTTTCTCGTTCTTAAGTTCCGTGATATCGAATGCTACTTGACCGTAGTACTCTAGAAATGGAGGGTGTAATAAGTCAGTTCTTGTTGTGCATTTTACGTCGCATCAACTGCAAGGTTACGAATTGCAGATTTTTATGCAGATATAGATTTTTGTGGATTGTGGGTTACGGAAATCGGAATCCAAGAATAATTTGTTTCTTTGAGGTATATACTTTATTATGTTTTTTTATACTGTTCTCTGCTGTAGAGCTTCTTCTCCCTTTGTGGTCCTGTTCTGCACTCAAAAAGTACCTATCCTAATATCAGTTCTCTATTCCCAAAAATCAACAAGTCTAATACAATCGATCTTTCAATTAAAGACAATGGAATCTTCTTCAAACCAGTCATTTAACGTTGCATCGTCTATTTCTAGACAAGATTCAAAGCTTCTCAGCTGCACCTGAAAGAATCTAAAAATCATTTCTGTGTCAGTTTGCCGCGAACGATGGACGAAACAAAATTCCAGATCCTGGAAACGCATCATTCACGGGCCCGACTGGCCCTGTCTCGATTCCCTTTAGACGAAATTATTGTCTCGAGGCTCTGCGGCCGCTGAATAAACGGTTCGCTCGCGCGCGCAATTTCTCGCGATGTCTTTCGCGCCGTATTCACCGGGGGTTTAATCCGCGCTCGTAAATCCGAAGATCCTGAAACAAGCTACGGAGGGCCGCCGCGTGCAGTTTAACGGCGACGAGGCCCCCGTGAGCCGACGCTTTAGCGGGGCTTACGATTTAAATCCCCGGGGCTGCACACGTGAAACCGATGAAATATCGCCGCAAATTACTGCCGAAAAATTCGACAGGAGAAAATTTGCCGGTGTGCCGGACCCCACGGTAAAAAGGGTCCCGGAGACGGTGGTTTCAACGCATTACACGCAAACACTTTAGTGCTTTCGAGAACGGGCCAATGGTAGTGTCAAATAACGAAGCTTGTGTGTAACTATTTGTGTACCTACTTGCGTTTTTTTTAACGTCTTTATATTGTTCTGGTCCAGTTACTATTCAACGAGGACTTCATTCATCAGGGGTAATTAGTAGACTGTGGATCTTTATGCGAAATAATATTTTGTTACATAATTTACAGAGACAGTATTAAAAATAGAAATTTCTTCTTTTCTTTTAGGGTGCTTATCAGGTTCAGAATAAAATAAATATTGTATTAAACATAATGGAAGTTTTGTCTGATATTGATTTCAACAACATACTCTTGTATGCTATGCAGAAAGATCCGCAGTCTAGTAATTAGTGTTTTCGTTTTCTGTTACAGATACGGTATTCTGTGTCGCGTGACGAGTTCCAGTGAGAGAATCCAATTTTTCGGGTTCTCAGTGATATATGTATATATATGTATATAAGTGTACGTACACGTCCGTGCTCGTTGGGTCGTGGTTAATTAGGGTGTCCGCTCTCACGGGGTTTCCTTAATTAATTGTCGGTGTATCGTGCTTGGATGACTAATATGACAAAAAGATGACCTCGTTGGTACAGAGGGACTTCGGGTCTCCGCGGAAGAGGGAATCGACCGGCAGCAATGCTTCCAGCTACCTCATGGTGAGTGAACCATCGAAATGGTTTTGTTTACCGTAAATTTTTGTGATACAGAAACGTGTCTCGTTGTTACGAAATAGTCACCGCTTAAACTCTTCAAGAACGGAACGTAGATTTTCAATTTTAGCAATTAGGCGGATGATTGTAGAGATAGAAGTAGTGATTACGGGATGATTAGAGGTAACCGAGGGATGTCATAAAATAAGTGTACGTTCCGTGGGAGAAAATGTCTATCGGGAGGGACGTTACAAATAATTAGACATTACTTCCCGCCTGCGAACGTCATTCCACCCGATCGTCTCCGAGAACATCTAACGGCTGAAACTTCCAGCTCGTCCAATTCAGACCAATTAAACGTTTCTCGTAACTGTTCCACCAGACACGTATTCCACGGATTCTAGACTTTTTCTTGTTACCGCATTCCATGCTGTATAAAAATTCACGATCTGGATAAACCTAAAAGCAGATATAACTAAAAATTCGTGTACCTGCAATACTCTCTCTTGCTATTTTAATTTATCTCAGCCTCGATCTGAATCAGAACGAGCCCCCCCCCCCTCCAAAATGAAAAGGATAACAGAGCGACATCACAAATCAGAGAACTGTTCCCCATACGGATCATCCCGATAAGAAATGAATTCCCGTGACGGAATCGGAGTATCATGTCGATTTAAATTCCGCGCTCGTAGACACGGACGAATATGAATCGTCGTGTCGCCTGGGCAAAGAATCGGGAAGAAAGGAGACCGCGGGACACACACGCGTGGATAATCAAAGCATGTACGATAATAACGGCGAGCGTGGGGTGAAGAGAAAGACAGAAAAAAATGTCCCTTCCACCGTATAAAAAATTTCCCTCTGCGCGGTGCCTACGGTGACAAATGACGTCACATCCCTTGGCGGGATACGTGACGCTGCCCTTGTGGGCCACCCTTTACGTCTTTGAATACACATAATACAGGGTGAGTTAATAAGAACTACTATCTAAAATAACTTGTTACCTATTGACTGTATTAAAAACATTTTAATCAAATATGTAGCATTTCGATTTCGTCATATCTTATTTTTCTTCGAGATATCAAGGTGACCTTGAGTGTTTTCAAGGTCAGTGCATTTTTGTTTTAATACCATCATGCTACAGGTCGCTGAATTCGTCCTGCCATCAACAGTAACGTGGTATTAAACAAAATTGCATTGACCTTGAATAACTCAAGGTCACCTTGATATCTAAAAAAAAATAAGATATCAAAAAAAGAAATTGCATCCATCCAATGCGTCCCTTAATATGCTACATAATTCATTTAAACGTTGTTTGATACAATCAATGGGTAACGAGTTATTTTAGATAGTTCTTCTTGACTCACCCTGTATGTATGTGCTCGCGTAGGTTCCTTCTCTGGATGGTCGCTGGTAAAATGACCGGGCCGTTGTCCCGCGACGGCACAATTCCCAGCGATATCCGTGGACACCTTCTCGTGATAAGGACAAGGGTTACGTTGGTTATCCTCGTATCAGAAGTTATTTGGACAGAGATAAGGCGGGCCCTGTGTGAAACTGCTCGAGGTTTTTCCCGGAGATTACGACACCTTTCTCGGACCCCGTGGATTGCACGACCGAGATTGAAATTTAGGACGCGTTCAGGGGATGATGTCTGTGAATTGATGCTTTGTCAGGCGAAGAAATTGCACAGCGAATAATTTTGGGTTCATGATATTCTTGCGAATGAGAAATTTTTCGTAAAAATGATGTCTGATTTGACTTTCTCGTATCGGTAAATCAGTGATCTTCCTTTTTCGACTGTAAAAAGGCACTTAACTTAAATTAGTCTTATCAGTCGGAAGGTTCTGTTGTCGTCTATTGACGACAGCCATAATTAAAGGGTTAAATCCTTCACTGGACGGATGATAGGTCCTGAAATTCTTGAATGTATAGCACACGTAACAACAGCAGCTGTAAATGAAAAACGTTGGATCGTCGATGAGAATATAAACGTAACTCATTATGAACCTAAAAAGGTCTCAACCTGTAGTTAATTGCACACGTAACCAGAAGAAGAGTCGTGTTTCCAGGGTGCCTTGTTTCGAAACGGGTGAAAAAAAAAAATGAAAACGTCACCGAGACGAAATGCCCTCTGGTGTCTCGGAAACAGAGAGGGGGATTCGTGTCGCGGGCCGGGAATTTCGGTCATCCATCACATTTTGAAAATCGCGGCGGGCGACGGGGCCGGAAATGAAAAGGAAACACCGCGAGCATTAATTCTCGAACGGCGGCGGCGATATCGCCCCTGGTGCATGAGCGAAAATTTGCATTAAACGGGATCCCGCCGACTTGGCGTTTCTCCTGTCGACCCTCCAACCCACCGACGATACTTCACTTTTTCTTGCCCCCCTTTTGCATACCTTTCGGGTTCCACTGGAGCGGGGCGGGTTCGATGACGGATATTTCTCCGTCGTTTTATAAAATTCCACTCGCGCGTTGCTCTCCCGCTCGATATCTACCGAGAAAGTTGTTGCCGTGAAAGATGCTCGCGATGGAGAAGAGGATGCTCGCGACGAGAGGAGGCACGCGTTTCCGTTAAAATCGGAATCGTTCGCGATTCGTCGTAAAAAAAAATTTCCTCGAATTTGAAGGTGTCGACTGACGATGAACTCGAGTTCGTCGGTACTATTCATAGCCGTGCCTCTGGAAATATGTATTCGTCGAAATCGCTTCGTTGGATCTACTGACAAAGATTCCTTTTATCGGAGATCGTTCATTATTATGGAATTTAGATCTATTAAATCTATTAAATAGCAGCAGCTAGGTAATGTGTTAATTATTAATTTCTGATCGCATATTTACGTAGATCATTTTAGATTCCTGTTACCGTTCGTGGCCTGTTCAGGTCCAGGCGCTCCCCGAGAATCATCAGAAGTGTTAATTCTCGACGAACGATTAGGCAAAGTATAGACACTCCCCCGCGTCCTCGAGCGACGCAATTAACCGGAGTTTGAATGGACCGAGCTGTCTGGACGATTATGCGAGAGCACGAAGTCCATCCCGCGTCGTTCACCCTTATGGACCGCGATTAGGTACCCTCGGCGGCTTAAAAACACTACTCTGTAACTTTGCGCGCGCGCACGGATAAGAACAGATGGTTCCTTTGTTCCCCCCACGGAAATACGCGAGAGGGTTGACCGTAGAATATTTCATAGAGGTGGCCTATGTGTATTTTTCAGAGCACGACTTTCCTTTAACCCTTTCAGACCTGATTTTTCTTTTAAGAGTAAAAACAATATTTGATTACACATTTTAGCTCAGTAGACTGGATGATATTTTGCTTAAAAGAATGTTTACATGTTCCATAGTTTTGTAAATATTAAATGGACACACGTGTGTACATTGAGACTCTAGTATATCGCGTGACACCTAAGAGAGCACAAATGGAAGAGCATGAAAGAATTAAAATTTCTAAGAAAAATGTGGATCTGCAACACACTGTACTTACATAAGGCTTTGTGTGAAATTTTAAGAAACAGTTTCTTTCCCCTTGGAGACACAAATGCACTTTACAGTTTCTGCACTGAATCCTCGACCAAATGGTCGATGGAATTGTACTGTATTTTTTGAGCAGAACGTGTTTGAATTTCCGAAGTATTCATCCTCACCGAAATAATATCAGCGTAGAAACTTCATGTACACAAATGTGACCCGCCAAGTTTGAAAGGGTTAATCTTCAAGAAATTCTTTGGAAAATTTCACAGTGTAGGGGATTGTTGTTTTCTTGGCCTGTTTTAATGGAAGAGGACTAACTTTCGGAAGTAGTTACGGTTTGCCGAAGCCTGAAAGGGTTCGGTTAATTGCGACCAAGATGTCCTTCGACGTGGTAAACTCGGAGGATCGAAAGTGTATCGACAGTTGTCCGAGAGGAAACTTTCTAGACGCCGGAAACAGTGTCTGAGAGGATGCCTCGATGAGGCCGAATCGATGAGCGTCCCGGTGTCGAGGAAGCATCGTTTCGAGGCTCGTATTGTTGGAACTTTTAATCAGGGAATGGTAGTTTCACGCGTTTTCTTCTTCTCTTTCTCATTGACCGAGAGGGACAGACGAATTTGTGGTGTTCCTTCGCTCATTCACTAAACTTTCCTTCACTTGCTACAATTTGTAGCTTTGTAATAAATGCCACTCTAATCAAAAGTTACTATCTTCGCTAGAATCAGGTGTGTAATAAAATTCCTTCTGATTCTAATTGTTTTCTAATTCATTTCAAGTTGCTTGAATTTTATCTAAATCATTCTACTTAAATCACAAAGTGATTCCAAATTCGTGTTCAGTTTAGACAGTTGATTTTAGCTTCCCCGAAGGAAATTACTTTCCGTCACCCTGTACATAGACGCGATGGAAGAGGATATGTACTTCCAAGGACGAAAACGGCTTCCGCTGGTTGACGGAGGATCAACCGGTATGCAAATGGAGGCTTAAGGCCCTGTCTGGTGATCTCTCGAAGTGCGAAAGCCGATCGGTGTAGTCGTTGTTAATTGAATTAATCATCGGATCAACCGTCTCCACGACACGGGAAATCGTTTCGTGTCTCTCTGGCTCGACCGATCTGGTTTCTGTCGAAGGAAATTGGTCGTTTCCTTTCATTCCCCAGGACGGATATGGCAGCGTTAATTGATCCGATTTCGGCCGAACGACGAGTCACGACAATTACACATAATTGACCGTGACAGAACGTTCTCAAAAAGAAAATACATCAATTAAAGTTGATAGAATGTATTTCTCGCTACTGAATAATGATCTGAATTCATATCAAAGTCCTTAATAGAAGATACACAGTTTCGATTATTCCCTTCTCTATAAATCACTCGACAAAACCTTGAACTCGCACGAAATTCCACAGTCTACCAAGAGGAACGAACGTAATTTCCAGTTTCCCCTTGAAACACAGCCATCTCGAAAATACACGTTAATCCTCCAGTTCACCTGATATTTACGTTAGCTAAGAGACAGGCAGAGGAACG